TTTTTCCGGTTGTTTAGCTGCACACTCTCCAAGGAACCATGCAATGAGAATGCCAATCATCCAGATTGCAAACTGTTTTTTTTTGTTTTTTTTGGGAAGATTACAAAATCTCCCAGAAGACCAAACATGATTGAGCCGAGTTGAAAGCAGAAAAGCAAAGTGAAACACATAGAGCACATTTTCCTACAATGTCCAGGCGTGATCTGGCTGTGGAGATGGTGGGACATAATATGGTCTTCTCTCACTCACTCACTCACTCACTCACAGAATTGGCCCTGGGACTGAAGAGCTCTTTTATGTGAGACGTGGTCTCCAGACCAATTACATGACTTCACTCATAACTTATTCATAACAGGTAGAAGAGCAATTCTATGGGCCCTTCCTGCGCCCAGCTACGGCTGGTACACACTACAGCCACCTCAGGTGCTCCTTCCTCTCTTGGGCGCTTCCCTCCTCCGCTAGCGCAGCAGTGCTCACGCTTGCAGCTTCACTGCCTGAATTGTCAGTACGGGGCGGTCTCCCGACTTCTGTGCTGGAGAGGAGGTCGCACGCAGGCTTCGCCCTGTCCCAGTAGGCAGTGGCTCAGGCCCACTGGGTCAGCATTCAGGTCACAGCGCCTCCGCAACTAACTCAAAGGCTGGGCCCACTTGTCAGTTGTGAAGGTTGGCTCCTGGCAACCAACCTCCATCGCCCCTCGCTGGCCTTCACCAAGGGGGGGCGCGAAAAATCCAGGCCCGCCTTCACTTAGGACACCCTGGCCACATTTTCAAGCGGCTGGAGAAGGCCGTGGAGGCCTGGGGCCTCACACTGTGCTATTCCTTGTAGGGGCACCTTTTTATTCCTCCCCCCCCCCCCCCCCCTCCCCCCCCCCCCCCCCCCCTAAATCGTGCGCCTTTCTTATTGATGGGGAGCAACGCCTGCTGGGAACTGGGCCCAGCATCGCTGGAACAAAATAACACTCGCACTCAACGCATGGTTGGGGCACCTTTTGCTTCTCTAGCTGGATTGGTTGTGCGGCTTGTGCTTTTTTTTTTTTTTTTTAACGCCCCGAGCCCATTGCTGCAGGTGATATGAGCAACCTGCAGTGGTAGGCTTCCGTGGGCGGCCCCAATCTTATTGGTGGGGGGCAACACCTGCTGGAAACCACCGGGTCCGGTGTCCCATGTACAAAGCATCATCTTTTGAGAATAACTAATCTAAATGACCCGCCAGCATTGATTGCCCCAGTAATCGCGGGATTGACTGAGCGGGAGGCTGAGATGCTTGGGAGCGACCTCTTGCTGAGTGAGTCCTCCCAAGGAATAGGTGGTAGCTAAGTGTCCTGGCCGCCATGGCCCCTTCCGGGGGGCACTGGGTGGGGCCAATGTGCCTTGGCCAGTTGTACTGTAGAATACTCATTTGAAAAATTCACTCAAGCAAAGGGCATGGGGTGGGAAGGGGTTGGAAAAATCCGAGAGGGGGGGGGGCGCAGTGGGAAAGGGAGCTCCATGTGTACCTACTACCTCGTCCTTGAAGCGCAGCTGATAATCCCTTAACCCTTCCCCCTGCTGCTGGCCTCCCTTACTATCACCACTCCATCTGATTTTTGTTATTCCCCTCCCCTTCCCCCCCCTCCTCCTCTCTTCCCCACCTTCTGCCTCCCAAGCAACTCTGTGCAGAAGGCTGTAATTGCCCGCACGATGTCCCCAGACTGCCTATACAAATCCAGCTGGGGTTTCAGGGCGGTCCATCTACGCGATAATAATTCCAGCTGCACTTGTTGCTGAATCTGTTCTGTACTTTCCGCCCCGCCCACCTGCACTTGAGTGTTCTTATATTTGTCCCCACCTTTGCCACCGGAGTGCCCATAGCACCGCCCATCTGCCCAGCCTATGCATGCTATCGACGAAGGCTCTGCCCTGATTTTGGTTTCGATTATGTCCTTTATTTTCTCTGCGCCTTCCCCCCTCCCAACGTGCACTCCTTCCAAGAAGTCCTTTTTTTTCTTTTTTCAAAGATCAGCACCTTCTTATCTACTTGCTCCGTTTTCTTCACGCTTTTTGACGCATTATTTTGAGTGCGGAAATCCCTGAAGTCGGAGCACTTCCCCCCCCCTGTGCGAAGTTGCGAACCGATTTGGCCTACAGGTGGCAGCGGGAAATGAAAAAAATGCACCAAATTCAAATTGCCTCGAGGATTTTCGCGGTCTCAAATCTTTTTCATTTTTCAAATATTTTTCATGGAAAGATCAGGACCTAGTCTACGCACCCTCCAATTTTCAGATTTTCTGGAGCATTCTTCTGAGCACGAAAATTGCCAAGTTTGGCGCTTTTTTTTTTTTTTTAATCACTGCCGACCTCCGCTTTCTTCAGGCCTACCAGGCCCCAAAGGTCTGGGTAAGTTTTTGACTGTCGGGGGGAGTAGTGGTTGAAAAGGCGACTTCAACCCAGAGTCAAGAAGGGGGCAGATCCTGCTAAGTAGGACATTTCTGTTCGTCGCCTGCTCAGCACACGGGAGTGTGAGTTATCGTAGAATTTCAAGAACAGGGGTAGAGCAGAGGCAAATCCTTCCTTCATAGGAATTAGTCAATGATGCTGTATCAGGTTCCCTCAACCTTGCTGCAACCGTGCTGGGGTGGTCTGAATATCATCACCAGTATGGCTTCAATTTTGCACACTGGGTCACAATCGCAGTGGTAAAGGCATCTGGCTGTTATGGCCAAAGTCACCGGTTCGATTCCGTCTGGCTATGGATCGATCAGCGCCCAACAAACACTATCTACTCAGGTTCCCTCGACCATAACGGAGGGAAGCGTGGAGTGTGTATTCAGTATAAAGGACACTGGAGTGACTGGACCCGTTTTCCTGTAATTTTATAATAATAAAAGAACTTTAAAGAAGAGGTTAAGAAAAAAAAGGAAAGTCAAGGGTGGATCTGAGGCCTCCAAGCGAGCTTCTTCTTCTTCTTCTTCTTCTTTTTTTTTTTTTTTTTTTTTTGGGACAAAAAGCTCCAATCTATTCGTGGGGAGCCGCACGTGCTGGGAACCGGGCCCAGCGTCTCGTATAAGGATGCGCAAGTATTAAAGCACCGGAGCCATTACCCGGCTTCGGCTGAGAAAACTCTGAGAAAACTCTGAGATCAACTTGCACCAAGTACTAATGAAACAGCCTCGAAGGGGCTAATGGGAAAAAACAGACATCTATGCAGTACTAAATTCAAAAGGGCCCTTTTGTTTTTCGAGCCTTGGCTCACAGGAGAATTCAGACCGGATAAACCGCCTGCCTTGGTGCCTTTCAGCGGCCCCTATACCCCGATGCCCAATCTCTACCAAGCCTCACGCCCCCAACTGCTAGGTTACAGAGTGGCACGACCCACCCCAGAAATCCCCCACCTGCTAGGCCACAGGGAACGCGACCCGCCCCGGCTCCTGCCAGCGTCGACTAGGCACCAGCTCACCAAAAGACACTAGAGTGCCTTCCACCCTCGACAACTCCCCAGATCTCTCTACCAGGTGTCATGCCCTCGTACAGCTCGAGTTACAGGGCAGCGCAACCAAGCCCCAGCACCTCCAAGAGAGCTTCATTCAACACTTCTGTGAACTTGTAAAAACTCAAGACAATAATAATGAATAATTCCAGCTGTTTCCACCAGGGGAAAAAAAGGAAAAGACAAAAGAAAACTAAAAAAACTTGAAAAAACTTCAAAAAAGTTGAAAGAAAGACAATTTGACGATTATACAGGGAGCTTGTCAACTCAGCTTTACGCAAAAAAGGGCGACAGTGTTTTGATATTTTTGAATTTTTCCAAAATTTCCAAATTTTCCATGCTCCGACTTACCCTTTTTTCATTGAATGGAATTGGCTGTGTTTTTTTTTTAGCAGATTGAGCAGCCTTGGGCAGGGAGCTTGTCAAGCAGACGGCAGCTGCAATGACTGATGAAGAGTTACCTGTGTCGGGGACATCCTTTTTCTCCTCGTCTGGCGCTTCATGCGTATCATCTTTGTCCAATTATAATTTTTGCTGGACCTTTGCTACGTGTCGATCCCCATTTTAATCACATTTTTCAGAATTGGATTCTTAACTAACAAATTCTGACCCCCCTTATAAAAGGGGAGAGTGAGGGGGGGCGGGGGGGGTGGGGGAAGGCATAGTGTAGTGATGGAGGCGTCTGCGATAAGCTATAGGAGTGCAATTCCCTATGCGGGAGCTCGGCTAGGGAAATGCTGCCATGGGGGAGAGAAACAGAGACAAATAGTCCTAGCAAGAAACTATCCCTCCAGGCAAGGGTTGCAGAACCACCTCCTCCTCAGAGAGAAGGATCATCCAGATGTGTCCAAGTCCATAACCCCAAAGAAGAGTTCTGAAAGTCCAACACATTCTCCCCCTCGATCCGGACTACACACCGGTGGTGAGAGACATAGCCACACCCCCAGTGCCACACATATTGAGAGGCAATGCAGTTTTCTGCACCCATGTTTCACACGTGGCAGAAGATCTTTCCACGTGGCATGCTCCCGATCCTTGCATCCAACAGAATGTTCCTCCTCTGTCCAGTCCAGCTTTGTTCGGGCCATGCTAGAGAGCTGTGACCAGCCGTCAGCTTCTAGTTCCACTCATGTTCCTGCAAGAAGGGTGGTTGTAAGACGAGGAGGAGGAGGAGGAGGAGGAGGAGGAGGAGGAGGAGGAGGAAGAAGAGGAGGATGGAGACGTGCAATTGTCAACGTACAGAATAACAGACGGTGGTCACTTGGCAATCTGCTAGGGTGTTGGGTACTTCCCTTGCCTGCAACTGCAACTGCAACTGATCAAGATGAGATAAATCATTTTAGGGCTTCTGGGAGCGGGGGAGGGGGATGCCAAACTGCCAGTAGAAGGTCAGCAGGAATCGGAGCAATGCGAGGAGTTCAGAGGAGAGGACGGGTGGTGTGCGCGCTAGACAGAGGAGAGGATGGTGAAAGTGGCGCTTATACCAGTATGAACACGCTTCGTAAGGAAGAGCAGGAGGAGGGAGGAGGAGGCAGAGGGAAGGGTGGGGCTGGATCGCGCGTGTTTCGTGCTGGGCAGAGACGAGGGGAGGTCCGCCTACCTGCTGCTGTTTTGCGAGTGACCGCTGCCGAGGTGCTGGGAGAGCGAGGTGAGGAAATCCTCAGCAGTATCGGGACTGCTGTGGCAAGTGGAGTCAACATGGTGGTCTTGGTCGAGGGTAAAGGGGGAGGTGATACTGCTTCTGGCTTCGGTGGGGCATCACTGTACAATGCTGCTTGTGCTCTCCGTAGCCTCCTGCGAGGTCGGGCTAACCTCTTTGTTGCCGAGCGAGCAGACATTGCAGCTGCTTCAGGTGCCGATGGGGTCCTCCTATCAGATCAAGGCAAGTTCCACAGTCTCTCTCTCTCTCTCTCTCTCACTCTCTCTCTGTCCTGCTCTCTTTCTCTCTCTCCCTCCCTGCCTCTCCCTGTCTCTCTCTGTGACTCTTGTGTCTCTTGTGTCTCTCTGTGTTCTTCTGTATTTCTCTGCCTATCATTCTGTAGCTACATCTATCTCCCTTTCTTCTTCCATGAACAGATCTCCTTTGTCCCCTGATCAGGCTATGTCTATGTCCTCCCCTCCCCTTCCTCCTTCCCTCCCTCCCTCCATCTCTCTCTGTCTCTGTCTCTGTCTCTGTCTCTCCCTCTGTCTCTCCCTCTGCCTCTTTCTCTCTCTCTCTCTCTCTCTCTCTC